GGGGGGGCGGGGGGGGGGGGGCGAAACATACCTTAGACGTGTAATCCACCGAAACCACGTCGACCGCGAAGTCCCCGGGGTTCGTGTGGGACGGCATGGGGTACCCCTTCGACCGGAAGTACGACCCGATCCGCTTCGCGGGCCCCTGGAACATGACCCGGCCCTCGCTGAGCAACAAGACGTCGTCGAACATCCCGTATATGGAACTCCTGGGCTGGTGGATCGAGCAGATCACCGTGTGTCCATCCTGGGCCAGCTGCCGGAGGGTGGCCATGACCCGCTCCGCCTGAAATTGACGGCAAGCATTATCAAAAGCGCGGCAGTACGGCAGCACTATCGAGGAAATGACAATCCTCTCCGCGCATGGCACACGTACAAAAGGCGGACGGAACTAGTCGTGCATTTCTTCGGCAGGAGAGAATGAGGCACCAAGGTCAACGAAACAGCAAGTAGGCCACCCGGATTGTCTTGTTGATCCTGCTTCCCATAGGGGAGATATCGTTACATGCTGCTCGGGAACCGTAGAAATACACAGAGTTGGCCGTCATGGAACACATATGACTTCATTGCCAGTCTATCCCCGACTCCAAACTGTGGACGAGATGAATTTGATGTGTTACTCGTAAAACAAGAAAAAGACAGCACTAGCCTGGAAGGCATCCAGGCCGGTCGTGGGCTCGTCGCAGAAGATGAGCGAGGGGGTTCCAAAGAGCTGGCAAGCGATGGAGAGGCGCTTCTTCTCTCCCCCCGAGATGCCCCTGGTCTTCTCGTCCCCGACGATCGTAGAGGCCACCTGGAGACATGAACCATTGTTTTTTCTTTAAACCACCCGCAAGAGCACGCTCAGGCGGGCAAGAGTAAAACAAGTAAAACACACGAGGTAGCATCACAAACACACACGCGTGCAAGCGCTGACGCCCAGACAACGATCTTTCACTCGCCAGCCAGACGCCGTCGACGTTGCTGCTCCTGGAGGAAGGCCAGCCCCTCTCTCACACACACATTTATTGTCCCCCCTGAGAAACCACCGGTCTCTTGACTTCGTCAGCTGGCTAGTAGCGCAGATGAAGGGAACACACACCCCTTACCTTCCCACAACCACAACCTCCCCACAATACAGTTAAGGCCCGCATGTAGTAAACTCCTAGTTTTGCCGAGGCTCGTTCCTTATTTTGTCTTGTATGGGGTACTGTATCCCCACGGCGACAGTGCAGGTTGCAGTGTAAGCTACCTGACTGAGCACGCACCTGTTTTTATGGTCAAGTTCTTGAAGTGTTTGGAAATTATTAGGCTCACGTTCTTAACCCACCAAGTTCTTAAGCACGGGTCGATTCTGCATTACGAACCTTGGACAGGCCAAGCTTGCTGATGAGCTTGTCCACCATGGCGGACTTCTCCTCAAGGGGCACGGAGCTCGGGAGGCGGAGGCGCGCCGCCATAAGGAGGGTCTCCCTAACCGTGAGCTGGCTGTAGAACACGTCTTCCTGCTTCACGAACGCCTGCTTCGTCGGGGCCACGCGTGGCGCGAGCGCCGAACCGCCGGCGGCGGCGAGAAAAGAAGGACAGAGTCAGCGAAAATAAAAAAAAATGAAAGGGTAATGCAGCGAGAGCGCCAGCACCGGGAGCCTCAGCAAGCCGCCAGACGCCATTGCGCGGCATCAGAGCCAGTAGACGCAGCAGCTACTTTGAGGCATCGGTTTGTTCAACCGCTTAACCAACTCGAAGCAAAGGAACACAAAACAGCCCTCCCGCCCGTCGCCCTCGTGCGCTTGCACCGCGATACGCAGTACCGCAACACCACAAAGCGGCAGCAAACCACACGCGCAAGACACGCCCCAGGCACCCGTAAAACAAAGCCTGCACAACGCAAACAACACGCCATGCTAAGAAAGCACTCGCCTGCTCCTGGTCCGGCGCCCGCTCAGCTCCTCCGACCGTCAGCGTGCCGTGGAGCTGACTCCTCTTGCTGTAGGGCACCTATTTGGTTCAGCAGTTGTTTAGCGGGAGGGTTCGGCGGCCGGTAGGGGGGTGCGTTGGTCGCGCGTTAGGGAGGGAGGCAGTGTGCGATATTTGTTGCGGGGGTGTCATATTTTTTCCCAACCGTCGACCGTGCTCTCACGGGGAAAACGATAAGAAATATGTCCAGTTGAAGCATACAACGGTTCCAAAAACCTCACGATCCTTGTAGGTAGTTGCGTGTCATACCCGTTATTTTCTCCTCTTGAAAAATCGTTCATGGGACACGTCCACGGACGCCCCGAGGTACTTGTCACTGGTTGAGCAGAACAAGATGTGGTTGATCTGCCGCGCAAAAATGACCGACCTCTCGACGAACGATTCGCCAATGGGAGGGCGTCGGTCTGGCTGCGCGCGCAATGGTGCTCCCTTTTTGCCGGTTTTCGTCACAAGGTGGCATCGACCCCATACGTTTTAATCGGCTGATCAACGAACCGGCCACGGCAATCCGTAAGTTGAGCTTGAAACTAAAGTCTTCCCAATCAAGGCAAGTCACTCTGTCATAAACGCTGGCCCTAGTCCAACCGTGCACGTTTTTGACAAACTGGGCCGAACCAAAGAGGCATTCAACAACCGCAATCAACCAAAACCGCTCAACGGAACCACGGGGCAAGCCAGTCGACCAAACCCCGCACAAAACCACAAGCGGGTAGCAGCAGCAGCAGCAGCAGCAGCAGCAGCAGCAGCAGCAGCAGCAGCAGTAGAGGCGGCAGCGGCAGCTGCAGCGAACGCACCTGGCCGGCGAGGGCATTGAGCAGCGTCGTCTTCCCTGAGCCGGAAGGGCCCATCACCGCCAGCACTTTTCCCGCGTTAGCCCTGCCGCTGACGCCGTCCAGGATCGCCTTCTTCTTGCCGCGTCCCACGGAAAACGAAACATCCTGTTCCGTTACCGAGATCCGCCAACGCGAGGAAAGGACATGGTGATGGCTGAAAAATCGGCACCGATTTGCGCTTGAATTAAGTCCGATTGAATTGGAAAAGCGCACGCAACAGGCCAACCGCCGCAGCAGAAAGAAGGCGGAGAATAAATAATACTTCCTACTTTCGTACTTATAGGAAGAGATGATGGGCAACGGCAGACACACAAATCGGGGCCCGCACGTCTGCATCATCTCTCAGAGGTTGGTTGGTTGATAACCTGAGATCGTCAGCCGCAATGCAATAGGTACACCGTGTGCGTTGTCGGGAACGGGGTGAAAACGAGAAGTGGGATGTCCAACGATCGTGGGTTGGTGCTGCTGTCATGTGTTGTACCGGTAAGAAAAGAGCTAGTGTCTCTCTCGCTATGTCTAGGCACGCGAGGTCGCGCCGTAGAGCTAAAAGGCGGTTGCACGTGGTCTGGGAGTGCACGCGGGTGCATCCAACCGGTACACAAACCGCCGTGTTAATCGTTGTAATCTAGAAGTGCAATTTACAGTCGATTGTGTTCAATATGTACACGGAGTTTTGAACTTTGAACAGATGCACACAGAAATAGTAGGACTAACACGTTTTTTCCCGATTTGCGCGTAAGGATCGGGATTATCGCACAGGCGTGCGTGAAAAAGAACGAAATGATTTTAACCATCGCGCCCTTCGTACTATCGCTCACAAAACTTACAGTTGACTATAGGAATGTTTGCCCGCCGCGTGAGTGTATAACATGCAACTCTACCACGTACAACGATTACTAGATCAAAACACGCCGTCTTTCCTCCATCACCAGGATCGCCAAGGTTTTCGCGAGGGAGGCTTACGGTTTGTACATGACGGGGGGGGAAAGCAAGCCAGCAGGGGCAATCAGGCATTGAGTTCACACACGTGCATACACCAAGCAAGAAGCACAGCACACGACACTAGTTTACATGTAGCATCACCTCAAACAACCCCCCTCACCTTCCATTCGACGTCAACCTTATCCACCGCTGAAGTCGTCGAGAATAACAAACTGCTTGCAATGAGCAGCGGCAAGACACGAGGCAGCAACATTGCTCCCACTTTCTTCTTTCTTCCGAGGCGTGTGCTTCTTCAACTGCAGCCTGTTCGATTCCAGCTTCAAGCTGGAAGCCCTGCGGCGTATGTACGTATACGTACCCGCGGCATAGGGGGGGGGACGGTGCTAGGAATAATAGTCGATTGGAGGGATAAGCTTCTTGGTTCGGGCCCCCTCGAAACAACGCGTCAAAATCGAAACAGTGCTGCACGACAGAAAAAAAAAAAAGGAAGCGGAGGAACAAAAAATATCGTTTTACACAGATTAGCAGCGCAACTGGCGTACATCCACCGAAGGCTAAAGGCTTACAGCAGTAGACTATGCCAGTAGCTATCTAGGGAACCAAGATTTGGCAAATTCCGTCCACTGTAGGCTTCAAACTTGTCGGCGCAACACGCAGCCCCTCCCCTAAAAAAATGTGAGACTCGTATCTACGCGGCGCAACCACCCTGCTGTGCACCCGCCAAAGCGACCAAGCACAAGAACGCGCCCACTACAGCATCAATCGCCACAAAAATTTGAGGGAAGATGGACTGAGTACCATAGAGTAAATTTCAGAAGAGTTGAACTTGACTGATCGCGGGAATCAAGAGATAGACACAGATGAAGTTGAAAACTTGCATTTACATACAGGCACCATGCTTATTTTCTGCCACGCCGCCGGCAACACCGAGCATTGGTATTGTTAGCTGCTGATCTTGCGGTTCTACAGCACTTTGAATTGTGCTGCAAGACGTACTACACGTGGAGTACTGTTGAATGGCGTCAGCTACATTTGAACCGAAATTGCTTTTGGGGTACCCCCCTCTCCTGCTGCGGTGTTGCACCGCACACACTTGTGCCTGTTGACTCGGGGCCCTCACCCAGCAGTACAACTCTCCAGAATCCCGGGGAAAAAAACTATGAGAGGATGGAGTAGCGACAGTATCACGGCAGCTACAATAACGGGGAACTTGATCACTGATGACCTTGTGCTATCTGACGTCGCACGCAGACAGGCACGGCCGGCAATATGTACACACTAGACTATATTTAGACTACTGTAGTTGTTGAAGTGTTTTGTCTCAAAGCATACAAATACATTGTACGCACTGAGCATTGGGTGTGTCGAAAACGCGAGGAAATACTTACACACGAACCCCGCACACAAGACTGCCCCACCCGGGTTGCCCACACCTATCAACATCATGCCCGATCTGAAGGAAACAACAAACACCTTATTTACAGCCAGTACAAACGACACAGACAGGCCCGGAACGCACACAGCACCCCCGTACCTTTCAGGCAGTTTGCGACTAACAAAATACTATGCCAATAAACAACGGACACACAGCGCGGCTGAAAAATAATCCCCCCCGTGCACCTCCCTGCGCAACTGGGTAGAGAAATACAGGGGAGAAGTCGCGCGCGCTGTTCGTCCGTCTGATGTCTCGTACCCCGGGGTCGTCGTATCTCGTGGATGGATGCATCCAACGGAAATGAAGCACGGACCTGTTCAACCACCAACAAGGACGCGCGAAAAATGTTATTGAAACATGGAGTTAGAATAAGTCAGACCACACGATCTTTCGGTACGACGTGGAGATCTGACGTGCAATAATGCCGGGCACGACATCCCCAAGCCCAATCCCAAGGAACGATATATTATGTACCCGCCTGAAGAA